GCTCCCGTCACTAAGAAAAGTGATTAGCAGGGAGTCAAATGTAAATCACAGCAGCTTCTGAATATACGAATCATTAAAAGATGCAGATTTGAGGGGCTTATCACTTTCTTCTGTCACTGTTGTGGACCCAGCACTTAGGTGCGCTGCACATACAACTACCTCAGAACTCCAAGCATTTGGTCGGAGCGGTCTCGGAGAGCCAGCTGCCTGGCTGTGGTAAACTGCCTACTACAATGGTCGAGTACCATACGGAACAGTTTGTCAGCAACGTACCGGACTTACAGCGGATGCAGTTGAGCCTAGTCCAGTCATGTGGTATGATCATGCGTTTTTGCAGATTTATGCAAATGCAAAAACGCATTTTGTGTCGACCTATGGTGTGTGTGTGTGTGTGTATGTTTGTGAATGTGCGTCTGTCTGTCCAGTTTCTTCAACTCAGCAACCAGTCAAACTTCGATGCTTAAATTTTGCCAGTGTATTTCCTGGTCAAACACTATTCTAGGACCAACTGTCACTGACGTTAGAGCCCCATATCTAGAATCATGAAACTTTTGGCTGGAAAAATTCTAATTCGGGGATTAGGTAAGCTAGGAAGCTGGAATTTTGAGAAGATGTTCTCTGCTCATGTTCGATTTAAAATTTTCAAATTCAATTCTTAAGTAGGCCTGAGTGTTTTGGTGGGAAAATTGCTAGTTTGGGAACCACTCGTACAGTTAACGGCCTAATGGCTTCAAGTTTAGCACAAAAACGCTTGATCGCCCGGCGCCTCGCGGTTTAGGTTTTAGCGTTTGGACGCACCGTTTGACAACTGAAGCCCAAAAATTCTGTGGATATTTCCAAATTTTTTGTTACTTCACCATCCACCAGACTCTGACGTTCACCTGCATGCTAAATGCACGCATCCGAGCGTGGTCAGAACCATGAAAATCTTCGACGGCTGAAGATTTGTTCTAAAATTTCTTCTTACTGAAGGTGAACAGTTGTTTTGTTCCGAGGTACTGAAATTCGTAACCCCATTTCTGTGCCGGCTGAGCATCTGCTCCCCGCATGTGGTCAACAAAGGATCAGCTACTAAGGCAAGACGATCCCAGTGTCCATTTCATTTCATTTATCCGTTCATCCGTCCGGTACCTCTTGCTCTGTGTGTGTATATGTATGTGTATGGCTGTATTTCAATGAAGTGCTCCATTTTTCTTGTTTCTCTTGCATGTGTTCCTCTATTCGTTGCATGAAAAAAAAAAAAAACAAACAAAACATACTGAACAGGAAAATGAAGGCAATTCAGTGAATGAGTCGAAAAATATGCAAATTGATGAAAAAGTGAAACCGATTTTGAATTTGAAATTGGATCGTCGTAATCTGCGAACGGACGTCATGTGGGGTTCCAAAGAAGCCACGTTCAGCTTGCACAGTCTCTTCCTCACCGTACCTTTTTTCACTGAATGCTTTTTGCAGCGGTGAATAATGGAAAATGCAGGAGATGGAATCATAGAAATTGAGACGCATTTCTAGCTATCCTTTATCTTGATGCCTGATTTAGCGCACTGTTCGGTGGCACCACGGGAAGCGCACTACCTCCATCACCAGCAGCAGCGGCATATGGCACGAATAAAGCAAAAACGTTAGAATTCAGTTTGCTCACTTGGCTGATGGCAGTGGGAGAACACTGCAGGGCAGTTGAGAGCTGTGGCGCGCATTTGGCTCGTTTTGCACCCTGCATATCTTTCCACCTCCCCCCAACGTGTAGCGTCATGGTGCCTCGACTTGTCGCTTCATTATCTCCTCAGTGATCAGTCTGGCTTTTACATTAAGTCATCACACTCTTCTCGCATTAGCAATAGGTAGTATACGGTGATCGCTTCTTGTATTGAGGAATTGTACTGGGGCAGAATCCGTGGGCACAGGAGGCTCGCCGACTCAGTTTAATCGGTTCTGTTGTGCTCAGTCTGGACACCCGAGTGGATTCCGGCATTCGTTCTACTTCTATTACTGCGCGTGTTTTTAGCATAGCCGTCAGCATATGCAGTTATTTGAATGCTTCAGACAACTTCATCAGATATGCTGCTTCCCGTTTTACTGTCATTGTCCCGAGAGACGCACGGGCTATGCTAATGTCTGATTTCCCACGCCCACGGCCACCGGATGTGCTCCATTTCAATATGTGCAGCAGTCCTAGCACCGATTCTTAAATGCATTATATTTTGAAGTGCTGGAAACACAGATCAGTATTTGGGGAATGTATTTCAGTATGGATTTGAAACTAGAGTGATCGTTTAGCGATTTCATGACTACATGGCCATACAGTCAGCACGAATCGGTCTCGTTATTGTTTTGCCCGCAGCAGCCCAAACTCGCACCTGTTATCTTCTAATTCTTGGGGATACTGTAAATCCATTCTCATCCCAAAATATACCTTTCGCTTAGTAACTACACTTTTCTGAATCACAGCATGTTTTACCGCTTTAATCCATGCGAATTCAGTTTATGAAATCGGACGTTTTTTTTTTTTTTACTCTGGATGGCGTTTGATTCGCGAGGTTGCCGCACTGCACCAGAACATATATTTATCTCTTCATCTCTGAAAGTCACTAGCGTTGTACTTCATACGCAAAATACCCGGCCCTTTTCTACTCTTCGCTGTCTGCCGAGCAACTGAGTTTTGACTGTTACTGGGCTTGGGCAAAAAGTGAGGAGCCAAACCAACTGTAAACCAACTCTTACTGCCTTAAAGTGTATCACTTCTCCTGGCCAGTAGAGCCTTCGTCGTTGTGCATGTTAAGTAACGATTAACCATTCAGCCGACTTGAACCAAATTTAAAACAAGAATAGTTCTTCGGATCATTACAGAGCACCATTCCTAATCTTTGTCACGTAGTGCTGCTCTTCGTCCCATTATACCAGAATGCTAAGGCGCTTCGAAATCTCTACACAAAATCTGAGCAACAGTCGGATGGTACGCTTTGCTGTCAAGGAATATTTATTTACCATTGTCCAGAAGTACATCCTCTTTCTTCATGAAACACCTTAGTTTTTGTTGTCCTTGACAAGCTTTCCTTGGTGTTCGGAATGCTTGAGATGTACTTGAAAGAGCTTATTTTTCTTAAGTCCGGATCTACTTTTAATTCGATTTCTAACTGGTGGCGTAGCTGCAGAGCTGCTGCTCGTGAGCAAAGCAATGAAACTGTTCGCATATTGCGCTAAAATGTTAGTATTGCAGCTCGATGGCTTGTGAACATCGCTTTGTTGTAGCATTGCAAATTTCAGTTGTTTGGGCGCAGTTAGTTTCACTAGCATCCCTTCAAATTTTTGACCAGCGCTCGTTTTCGAAATTTTTTCTTTTGTCAGATTTTTGCGAAAATTTTCGAATTTTGGCTTTTCGGGCATCTCTGCAAGGTCGCATATTTCATTATGTTCCGATCCGCAGGAAATTCGCTGCTTCGGGTGTGACAAGGCAAAAAGTCGGGTGTCTATCCAAAATATTTGAACTTCATGAAAATTGCCTTTTTAGGTGTAAAACTGAATAGCACCATATCGAATAAGCGGGCGAATTGCATTAATACTTGATGTCCAGTATGCTTGATGCCGTTGTCAACTGCTTCACATACTTCACGATTTTCAGTCCTGTAGTCGATCCTGCAGCTTTAGTCTCGCTGGCTCTAACGCGCTGCTTGCAGATGGGTAGTTTGGATGATATCTTTTTATTCCATCTGTTGTACAGTCAGGCATTCTAACTGTTTTTTGCGATGATGACTTACTGAAACAAAAGGACGCACTGTTCCGCGCATGCAGTAAAAATGCCAAAATCTCCATTTACCACGAAAAGCGGAAGGAAGAAAAATTAAGCTCAAGGATCTCCTTGACAAAAATAAAGAATTAAGGATGAGGCGTAAAATTTATTGAAGGAGACGTGAAATTTAGTCGAAATAGCGAAAATTAGCTGCGAAGTGTTATGTTGCGTCAGAATGCAAAAAAAATAGGTTTAGGAATCATCTTTGTTTTCGTTTCAAGTAACACATAAAGAGAGAAAAACTGCTCTTAATGCTAGATGGGACAGCTGGTCTATGATCATTTGTTCATGATTCGATGGTAAATTGGTACACCGCATGCCAGCGAACTGAAATACTGAGACACTTGTATGCAACCCTCAAAAAAAGGGACCATCGACAGTCTTGGCAGTAGGTGGTTGTCGCTAGCACATGCTACCATTCGAGTTACTGCCAAGTGCTTCCGTCTCTCATGAAAGGCGAACACGGAAGGGTTTCTGACTTATGTAATGCGTTAACGTTCCGCAGATAGTTGTCCAAATTGTCCGTTAGCAAAGCGTTTGGCATTGTAAAAAAATATGTTGCAGTGTTTGTCAAAAAATCCTTCGTAACGTATCAACAGGAATGCAAATTCATTATATGAAGTATACAGCTATATACTGCTGAAACAGGTATTCTGTGTTTTGTCGTTTTTCGCTGCTTCATTGGCAAATCTTTCTGTTTCTGAAAGTAAGTACTTGCTCACCTTAAGTTTCTCAGAAATTTGTTTTTTTTTCTCAGAAATTTGTTTTTTTTTACATGAGTTAAAAGTTGCTTTATTTGTCCTCATTTGAGTTGAAGGTTGATACACACATCGCAATATCAATCTGAACTGAATTGGTCTGTGTCAGAATAACGCGCTACGGTTTTACGAATTTCAGTGCAGTTTGTAGAAATCGTTCCCTAGATCATTTTCTTAGGCGGGGCAAATCTTGACTGACACGGCTAAGCAAGAGGAAAAAGTTCGCCTCTTCGAATAGAACGAAGGGGGTGCCTAAAAACTCACTGTAAAATACTTCAGTAACATTTAATTCAAGTAAACAAATCGCCACTTTTTGTTTTCTGCAATAAAGTAAAAATTGATTTTCAGACCATTGCGATCGTATTAAATTGAAGTGGAACGTTCGGGGGAAGAGGAAAAGTAGTCGGATCTATTTTCCGTAACATCAAAGCAAACGTAGTAGAGAGCAATAGAGCATGGATGATTTATGGAGGATCCAGAATTCGAACAAAGCGATGATGATGCCACCACCATCCTTCTCATCTAATGTTCATGGCCAGTGGATGTATCCGTCAACAAATCTTGCGGAAATCCCGATAGAACTCGGAAACATCCCAGGGTCTGCGCCAAGAAGTAGTGGTATTGCGGGACTTTCCTATTCACAGCCGACAGCCGTCGTTCCTGCTGCTTCGTCGTCGTCTTTATCCTCCTGTGGCCAGCAGCAGCAACGAGACTTGCAGTTACCAGTACGCAGTGATCGTCCCGATACGTCATCTTCTAATGATGGTGCTAAGGCGAATGGCACTTCTGAAGTGAAAGTTGAGAATAAGGAACTTGGTGCAACGCTGACTACACACGTTTGTTTTAATTTTTGCTCGTCTTTTCGTAGCTCTTGTTTCATTCATTCTGTGGCACACGCAGCCCTGGACCGAAGGCCTACCTTAGCTGTGCTTGGCGTGTAGGTGCATCTAGATAACACTCTCAACATCGAATCCTCACACCGAACTGGTAATTGCAGTAAGAACCTGAAAAGCAGCTCCCTTTCTGCGGTTTTGTCAGAAAATGGCATGTGATAACAAAGCTCTCTAAAGTGGCAGATTCATTGCCTTCTATCCTGAAATTAAAAAATTATTTCGAAAATTTCACTGTATTGCGTCCCCTCGAAACCATCCTGGTATACGTTATCATAAACCCGGAAGGATGCGGTCGGTACGCCAGCAGCGGCTGCACCTGCTTCACGGTTCTCACAACACTGTGCTTTATACGGCCAGTTGAGGAGGACGCAAGTGCGAATAAAAAACAACCATAGGCTACTTAAGCGGCTGGCTCTTACTTTTACACCCAGTTTTGATAACAGTTTTTTACTGTTAAAACAGAGAGTTTTTGTGTAATCGTTTGATAATGAAAATTAGTATCTGTTACGTTCGGAGGACAGTAAGCATTTGTACTTTGTAACGCGGCTGTGTGCCGCAGCTCAGCTGAACTGACGCTGAAGAATCAGCCAATCCCACTACGGTTCTGTGATTCATCTCGACGGCTACTGTCATGCAGACAGTGCTCAGCTTGCTTCTCAGGCAGCTCACGGCAGTGAGGACCAGGATAGACGGCGGTGCACGCGTCGGTGAGATACATTACCGCTATAGCGACGAACCACTCGACATTTCATGCCACTTTTAAATATTTGTGGAGGGAGAGGGTAAAGTCCATACTCGTGGACCAGTGCTGATTGAATGATTAATGTTGACGAATGACCTCTGCTCTCGCGGTCAATGTGATGCCAGTTTATCATGTTAACTTCTGATTAATTAGACTAATCTCAGTTCCAAAAAATGAGCGCAATTAAGATTGACGGTGTCACGATTATATCATTTGTCTTTCAAAAGTGCTTGTTGGGCCCTTGGCCCAAATGTGTGTGTGTGTGTGTGTGTGTGTGTGTGTGTGTGTCTGTGTTTGTGCGATTGGATGACAGCTGGATGGATGTGAAGTGACTTGTGCGTCGACGGGATGAATGGATTATTGAGTGAGGTGATGCGGGCTACTACTGTTGAGTATGAGTGATACGTATCAGCTTTTCTCATCTTTATTCAGTTGTTCAGTTTTCAAATCCGCGCACACTGGCTGGCTTACTTCGGCTTACACGCATCACCTTTATGAATTTGAGCGGGCCACTTGCCAAAATATAACTTACGCGCGCACAAACATACACATACACAAACGCATACATGTGCACACACTACACCTATCACTCACAGCACACACACACAACCTACGCATGCAACATATACACAAATAAACATAAACACACATACACAGACGCCGTACGTTCAGTATTCTCACACACACAAACACACCCGCGTAGTGTGTGCGTGTATGTACACGCACACACTGCGCGTGCCTCACACACATCACACACACGTACGCACATCGCACACATAAACACACCTACCCACACGGGTAAGCATAGCCACGCGCATCTAGCCAAACATCCATACACAAACATGACACGCACACACTGAGTAGGTGTGCGAGAACGATTGTTGAGTAGGAAGTGAACGTATGAGTAAAAATGCGGCGTTGATTAATAATACAAGGACAACAGCTCAATATGGAAAATAAATATTTGCGGGACGGCGCACGCTGCACGCCTATCATCAAGCTTGATTTATAGTCCAATTTGCAGCACCAATTTGTTCTTTTCTCATTTCACTTCTTCAATCAAAAATGGATTGGTCGATGGAAAGTGGATTTATGACTGCTCGCTCCATGACGTGCTTGTTCTAAGTGTCCTGCAGAAACCTCGTCTTCTCACTGAATTTTGCCCATCCAGACGGGACTTTTCTGACTCGGCTTTAATTGTTTATCGTTATTTTCTGAAATTTATGCCTAGTGCTGGACGGACCGTTGAGAAACTCTGCTGGTTCAAATAAACTCCACTCTACTTTAGTTCAGTCTATAAAAGATGGTTTTAAACTTCTAGAGTGATTTTGTTCTCGTATAGAAGCAAAGAGCGAGCACCAGACAGATTTAACAGTTGTATTCTATACCCGGAAAAGATCCCGGCCGGCGTTATTAGCATCTTAAAAAGATACACATTTTCTAGGCGCTTTTGTTTCTGTGCACGGCTTGCAGCACATTCGTGCTCACACTGCTCACTGGTCATCGTCTTTCAGACAATTAGATCGGCTTCTAGCACAACTGCTGGTTAGCTTTCTTATCCACAGCACTGGATGGATGCATATTATAGTGGCGAAATTTACATCTTTCGAAGCTCTGAGGGCTGAAACATTGGCGGACGTCCGAGGCGAGGTCCAGCAGCAAGTTCCTGCTATTATCAGATTTTTATCGTTGCTCCATTCCAAGGAGATGATTTAGGACCACGTTGCATCTCATCAATCATTTTTTTATTTCTCTACCTCCGTGTCACCATTGCTTTCGTCCACTGCTACTCTCATGTCTCAGGTGTAGACCTACGCAGAAAAACTGTCCACTGAATGCAGCCACACCCCACCGATCTGTTCCTAATATAGTAAAAAAAGGAAGTTCGGGTAATAAGGCATTTGACTGCACCTATCGTTTCATTTTGTAGGTTTTTTTAAAAATTATCTAGTAACTGTGTGGTGTAGGAATGCTGAATTTATCCCTCCTCTTTTAGATTCAGGGATGCTTCCAAGACATTTCAGGACGTTTTACATCATCCATCGCAGTGCAGTTTACGGGTTTAAATGCCAAACATTTTGTATTGTTATGTACTTTGATTAAAATTTCATGGGACTTTAGCATAATTAAGTGAAACTGCGTAAAAAATTTGCTAAAAGACACATCGGTGTATTCAGTTTTTGCAAAGACTCACCTCAGTTTGATCGCATCCTATTACCGCACCACACTCACTTGGCTCAACATTTTTTAATATTTCAGTGACGGCTTAGCGTTTTTACCTTTTTTTCCCACTTGTAACTGATTTTGGTATTATTTTTTGCTGGATTTGGTGCTTTTTTTCAGCCAAATCTCCCACTCCTCTAAAACAAAATTCATACCTCTTTTGCTACTGATCTTGCAATGTAGCAGGAGCGACCTTTGGTCAGTTTTTGAACTTTTTGCTTCCCGAACGTCTGCAATACAAGCGAAGACTGTAAATTGCATGACGTAGAAAGCTACAAATCTGAAATTTTTGTGCTTTTACATGCTAAATAGGCTAAAAAACCATACCGAGTTTTGTTAGCTCTGGCTCATGTCCGTATGTCCCCTGCTTAAGTAACAGGAAATGGTACCATAAATTACTTGTGTGAAATGTAGTCTACAGCTGCGGGCGGGAGCTAGCAAAGTTGCGTTTGACTGTACCCCGAGAACAAATAAGAGTCGCGTCGGGGGTGTTGGATTCTGTTGTACTGTCCACGGTTGATTAGGAGCAGCGTACGGTAATAAATTTTTGTATGTATATGTGTACCGCAGTTTTTGGCCCTCATCTAGGCATAAATTCCGAATGCTGACATGTAATATTTCTGGGAGCAAGAAGCAATTTAAAATAGCGAAACACTCTTTTAGAGCTGAATGAAATCCATGTTGCTTCAAGATGAGGAGGAGTCTTGAGGTAATTTTAAGAAGAGTGTGCACTTGTTCTAGAATCCCTTTTTTTTCAGTGTTTTTTATTCAGATCCCTTCAATTATAGCTTGAAAGCTTTTGCAGCTACGATGGTGAGGAAAGTGCGAGGGTGCGAAGAACATCTTACAGTTATATTGAAAAAAAAAATGCTGATCTGTAAATGGTGCAGTAAACCATTCATCAAAATTGTTTCATATCCACTCAATAGTTTTGCAAGTGCCAATTCAAGCAAGTAGAAGCACTGCGGTTAACAAATAGACTAAAAAACGACGCAGAGATATATTCTAGCCCAAAAGAATCAGTGTGCACAAATCATCCTGGGCTTTCTGTTTCGGTTCAGTTGAAAAAACATATTTCTTTCAGTTATCACCACTAGTCAGAAGCAGACACGTACGCCTGCAACTAGTTGGGATGCACGTCTGAATGAAAAAAGGGTGTTTTTAGGTCGAAAACGAGACATGAGATCACGAGATTTGAAAATAGGGACGAGAGGCTGGAAGGCGACGGGAATCTGATTGACTTGTTTAACGATCGAAAAAATGAGTTGTTCGAGGTACGCGCGGGGGATGGCTAAGTGAGCTTTACCTGTCCATAGAGGAAAAATTTAATCGAATAGTTGGGAAATGAGAGCTACACTGTAAGAGCTTGAGCGATCTTGCAAATCCTTTTTTGTTCTAGTCTGACAGTTTCGGATAATCTATTAATGCATATTTATCCCGGCTTTCGCACCTTTATTTTTCTTGTTGAATGATTCCGATCGATCCGAGCCGGATTTGGAGGACATGCTATTTAGAGCTCGAGCATCGATCGGTCACTTCTGTCGCGAAATGCCCCATTTCCCGTGGTCAGTTTGCTTGGCGCATTTTAAATGCCTTGTTGTTTTATATCGAGTTCATTTCGTCGGGAGTATGTAAGTGCGGACAAGTCGCAAGGGATGGTCCCATCGCCTCATGCGCCATTTGGCCTCTTTGCGTTCGTGGTTTCATCAGTTACGCAGCGGCAGTGCGGCTGTATTCGTCATTGTCTTTCAAAAAGTGTATGTGCATCAGTTCCCCGGAGTGTCGCGCTATATGTTCATGGAGCCGCCTTTGTTTCCTAGAAAACTTGTAGTGGTGGGCCAAAAGAAGAAGTGTTAAATTAGCAAAATCCTTCAGTAAATGAGTTGTTTAGCCGCTGTTCTGCTTTGTTTTGTTGATTTGAGCCGTTTTTGGTTGTTTCCTGGCAAAAATCCGAGGATTGTGCCCGTTGTGCCGGGTGAAGTTTCCTCGCGAAAGAAGGGCAGGGGGTGATTGAAATTTCGCATGGCACAGTGCGGGCATCTTTGGAGAAAAACATTTGGAAGTTTTAAAATTAGAAATTGTC